TAGATGGCAGTTAAAAGCATTTCCACAGCTTAACATAGCTTACTAGCTTTCTCTTAAGTAATTGTGGTGTATTATTATCATTGTTCATTTGGGATTCCCTCATTTGTGTCTCAGTTTTTTTTCCTGATTTTATATGATGCTGGAAGGTACCAAGATATCTTTTTCTGTTTATTATTATTATTATCATTATTATTACTAGTTGTTAAAAGGATGTTTTCCTCTCCACTGTCACTAAATGCTTGCTTAGTATGAGGATCGCAGTGATGTGACATTCACGAATGAATCAAATCTTTTGAACGGGTTTTCAAAGTGAATGATGAGAGCCGAGTCCCTGTAGAGAGCCGTTCATCTTAACAAACCTCTCCGGAAGTCTGTCAAACTCACCCGCTCAAACCCCACCCACTGCTGTGACGGACGTAGGAGGAACCATAGATATGTATATAAACACATGTTTTGTTACGTATCTATGGGAGGGATGCTAACCAACCCCGCGCGCCCTCACGGACACCGCAGGAAGACGTTGCTCTTGATTTTAATAAATTAACAAGTAATATTCATAGAGTTTGAGTTTCGAAATACGATCCAGATTTCAAATTTTGAAGAGACAGCAAAGAGATTCAGACCTTGCTAACTTAGACACACAGAGCTGCTATTAAAGCTGTTATAGCAAATCTACTGAACAAGCTAGGTGTTGAATGCAAACAGTCATAGAACACTCACCCCTCCCCTCGGATATCTTTCCTGAGACGCAGCTTCTGGAACTGGAAACCCACATAGCTGGACGATACGAGATATTGCAAAACACCAGTTGCTGTTTTCTAGGTCCAAACGTCTTGTTTTCCGTGACTTCAAATGGTGTTTTTCTTTTTGGGACTTAGGTAGTTTGTCCTGAAGTTGAAGTGGTAGCAGCCGGCTGTTTCTCCTTCTCTGTTGTTATTGAGCGGAGAACCGCTCACACCGGTGGTGTTCAGTTGCTAAATTCGGGAGTGTGTAATGAATGGGGGACCCAGGGAAGTGCAGCAGTTTGGCGAGACCGACTACCGAATGGTCCAATAGTGTTGTTGGTGAAGGGTTTTATACAAATGCAAGAGAACCACTTCATTAATTTATTTTTCTTCATTTTTAAAAATCTCCAATCTATTCCAAGCTACACAATGTTAGAACGTTGTTTAGAGGCAAAGAGGAAAAACATGTTTTAAGCTAGCTTGTTCACCAGTTTTGCCGTTGTAACTTTAAGAAAAATGGAACTAAATGAAAAATATCACTGCATGCTGCATTGTTGAGCAGGCCAGTCATAACCGAAAATAACATGTTTTTTAATAAGTTATAGCAGTGGTTCCTAACCTGGGGGTCCCGACCCCCACAAGGGGGTGCCAAAGCCTCTCAGTGGGTCGCCAGGACCTCTCCACTTTAAGGAGTTAAAACTTCATTTATTACTTGTTTATAGCCTACATTTTGCTCACATTTTTTATCCATGAGTGAAAAGTTTACTGATATTAAGACAGGAAATAATTAGTACAGAAAAAGTAACACACTTTTAAGAACATTTTGCTCAGCTCACTGTTTTATTTTCAAGTGTCAAAAGTCCATTAAAGATAGGACTGGTTGATTAATCCCAGCCTTTACAGTAAATAATCTAGTATAAACTGTAATATACACATTCAAGTACATTTTGCTCAGTGTATTTTTTATGTGTCAAATGTTTATTGAAAGGAATGATTGATTTATCAGTGTTTGTCAAGCACATTATGCTCTGTTTGGTTTTGTTAATGACTTTGTTCTGTACTGGAGCCTACTATTACTGTTATCTGTTTAATCAAAGCATATTAAAATGTGCTTGAACAATTTTATCATTTCATAATAATGTTTGTACTGGAAGAGAGAATGGGAGGGGGTCGTCAAAAATTTTACTGGTAAAAAACGGGGTCCCTTGGGAAAAAGGTTGGGAACCACTGAGTTATAGGATGCCAATGTGATTGCATTTGTTCCACCATGTTCTCTAGTGTTGACTCACAAGATGCATGATAGTGGGCCTTCCAAAGGGGTGGAAGACCATCCCTTAAAAACATGCAAAAAAAATTTAAGTAATAGTATTTTTTGATAAATTGCTTAGCATTATTTAGCAAATACAGAATTAACACAAGTTGTTTCAAAAGCTGCAAAAACCAAACACATTTTTATTGTATAGTATGAAGTCAGCAGGTCTTACGTTAAGATTGTAAAAAGTGTGAGGATCAATCTGATAAAAGAAAATTCAGTCATTTGGTAGATGATGTAATTCACTTTCACGAGTGGAAACAGAAGGTTGTTAACAGCTGTCTTGGCTGTCATGAGCCAGCTGAGTCATTTTCTCCACCTAGGTTCATGAAATTCAAGAAAAAAAATTTAGTAGTAAAATCTGATTGTGTCTTTTTGTGTGGAATAGTTTCCTTTTAGTGAAATGACACTAAATAAGAAACACGGTTACAGTGTAGGAGCCACCTGTGCAGACTTTATTATAATCATTTACAGCATTTCATCTGTCATTATACCAACCTAAACAGCATTTTACCACATCTGGATTACAATTTCAGCAGCACACATCAGTAAAAATACACATTACTGGATCATACAAGTCAAACACTTCCTGTCTCACAATTTTCTCTTTAAAATGTGAAATTACTGTCAATAAATAGTAATTTCAGCAAAAATGAAGCCTTCACAATTCATTAAATTAATAGAAACATCACTGGCTCCTAAGTTAATGCATGTGGATTCTGCTGTGACAAAAAGATAGTATAATTTAACTGAGGCTGGTATAATTTAACTGAGGCTGGCAGTTTTTCAGAAGGACCACTGTAATGTAATAACATTTATAGATACTAAAAGGAAGAGCCACATTCACCCTTGCTGCTGTCAGCATCGTCACTACGTTAAAACATGTCCAGACATTGCTCTTTAGGTCGTTAAAAAACAGAATCACAAAGATATTTGACTTTATTTTCACTTGCAGGTAAAAAAAACACATTAAAAGAGTTTTAAGTTTATTTAAGTAGAAGATTGGTGTTCTCAACTTGTGAAAGAAATTATTTCACAGCACATGTAATTTCTTTGACTCACAGCGGATGACTGTTCAAACATCGGTACCAGCAGCTCATGACTTGTGTCATCATTCTTGTTCTGTACAGGTTGTTTGTACAGATTTCCTCCTACTGCTCATCCCTGAAATGAAGTCAAAAGCCACAGCTCTTGAGCAACACTCGAGCTCAAGTGATCGCTCAGGAATGTTGTTGCCGCAGAGCTACAGGGTGAATGCTAAACATCAGGTTGGGCCATTAGGTGATGGTAGCTTCTCGTGGTGGCATCATCATCACCCTTTTTCTGAATTTGTAAAATTCCAGCATGGCAGCGTTGTCCGACAGGTTGAGACCGAAACCTATTTTGGAAGCTATCTCAGCAGGAAACAGTCTTTGTTTCTGACAAGCAGAGCAGATTTAATTTCTAACTCAAAACAACCTGTTTGACCTTTCTTTCACATTTAGTTGATTTTCTAGACTTATCGATATCTGTCGTACCTAAGGATGACATGGTTACTGGTCTTGTTGATTGTAGTGGTAAATTTTCTCAAAGTTGATTTCATTTTAAGACAAATTTACTATTTAAACTGTATTTGGTTACTAATCTGTTAAAAATGAGTAATCGATTGCCTAAGCAAGTGCAAGGGGACATCAGTGAAGGAGCACTGGAGGTTTTCAACCCTCCAAAGAGATTAAGTCTGACTGTATTTCAAACAGGGGTTTTCAATTTTAATATCTTCATCAGAATGGAAGTAAAACTTTTTAGCCTGATGTTGTCCTTCGAATTAGGTGTCATCAGTTTTATTCATGTGTTGCTTAATACTTTTTTTTTTATTGCTGTGACCGAAGGTTATGAGTGCAAGGGCTGCACATGGCCAGGTCATGTTTGTAAACGAGAACACGTGCTCAATCATTTTACCTGGTCAAATACCGACACCACCGGTCCTTGTAACCACTACCAGCAGGCAAAGTGGGTCAAGTGTCTTCCCCAAGGACAAGGCAATGTAGCCAGGGTTTCAATTACAGGGGAGCTAGTCAGAGCCCGGCCCCCCCGAAAGGGTGATGGGCTCCCCTGGAAGCCCTCAACAAACATACTCAGGGGAGTCCAAAAAATTGTCCAGTTTGTACCTGAAGTACTTTATTTATATGGACGCTCAGTGTAACTGAACGTCCTTCGAGTGAACCTAGAGGAGGAGTTTTTAACAGGCTTTTAAAAAAAAAATCTGCTGAATAGCTGACAAATATTATCAAGTTTGAGCTATTTCAAAATTCACTAAAGGATCAGTGGATTTAAGTTCATGAAATTCATAAAACAAGTCTTTAAGTTATCAGAATGAAAGTTTTTCTGGCCAAAATCTTAGTAATTTTATAAAATAAAGACTGACTCAACTGATGGTGGGTCCAAATAAGCTATTTTTAGATGAAATAAAATGGAACTGGCAAAGAAAAAAGAGTAGGACATTGACAACCCAATTATTTTATTTATTGATTTATTTTTATTAAAATTATTTATATATATATATGTATATATATATATATATATTTTTTTTTTAAATAAATTATATGAAAAAAAAATTTCAGTCATTACAACAGACCATCAAAATACATAACATATCTTTCATAATAAAACATGCCTTTGTTTTAATTATTTTATTTGATCAAAATGAAGGGAGAAATGGTTAAATGTTAGTGCCCGTATTTTCTTAGTTTCTTAATTTCTTTTAATTTAGTTGATTTGCTAAGTCAGACTGATGTTTATTTCAACACACCTCCAGAGCAAAGGATGTCTGTATAACTTAATGTTTAATCTTGGTCTAAAAAGTTCAGTTTGACATGAACTGGAAGCACAGCATTGAGAGTTGAGTTTGTTTTTGCTTTATTTAGAATGGTAAAAAGGGAGAAAACATCCCTCTCATCCTTAACTTTTCTCTTTTTCTGACACAGGCCTGCAGAGTTTGATGTCCTATCTGGATATGGTATGGATCAACATCTGAATGGGACATTTAACTGCAGCTGAGAGTGAACAGGAGCATCAGCACATGCTAAGGAGTGTCTCTTATCAGCTGTAACGCTTTGATTAAGGTTTTTACAAGATGACTGATTCATTTTCCTGCATTCTGGAAGAGCATCATAAAAGTAGAAGACAACTCATCATCAAAGGATTGCCTAAACAAAAACTCAGACTGTAATTTTTCCCCCTTTTTAATTCTTGAGAAGATTTTTTTTTCTATTGTAGAGGAGGTAGCAGGAGCTTCTCCGTGAGCTGCTGGTTTGGACTAAAAGCCTATGTGTTGCAGAACAGCTGCTGCTGCTTGTGGAATAACTTAGCCTCGGACTGTTGGGGCCAAGGGATCTGCCCTTTCCGCCAACCGTTCTTTGAACTCTACTTTTCCCACCTGTCTCGAGGCAGACTCCGATAACCAATGGCATGGTACAAGTTCTTCAGGAAGCCCGGGAACAACCTGGGAAAGTCATTCCAGCCGGGAAGCATGATGTCTCTGGCCCCTACTAAAGGACTGCTGAATGAACCGGGTCAGAACAGCTGCTTCCTCAACAGTGCAGTACAGGTAGGCATGCTGCATGAAGTGACTGTTGGGATTAAGGTTGGCGATGTGTAAAAAATTTCCAATTGATATTGATCAGTGCGGCAAATGGCCTTGGGCATGTTGGACTTTTTGTGGGCTTGTCACAGAGCAACCCACAAATTACAATAGTTCTTGTTTAGTCGGTGGAAGTAGACCACCACAGGTCCTCATGTAAGATTTCATTGTTTTTCAAATTTCATTGGTTATTTATTGTGTCAATCAGCAAAATACTGCACTGTGATTGGTTTGAACTACATATATGAAATTAGAGGTTGTCACTTTTGACCTACAGGCTAATAGTTACAGATTTAGCCTCAGCAGAGAGAGTAACCCTTCACCTGTTGGATCCAGAAATACCTTGATCAAAAGTTTGAAGCTAATATAAGGATGCTAATGGAGGTTATTAGTGGTGTGCCATCTTATGTACCTCATAATTCGATTTTGATTCTAGGTTCAACGGTTCGATTATTAAACGATTATTATGATTACCACTATTTTTAATGCATTTCTTTACTCTTTGGGGTTTTTCCTCACATCATAGCTTATTTATACTTTCAAATTAATTCAACGCACATTTTTCAAGTTACCTAAAACCTTTTACAACACTATCTTATTTATGTAAGACTGAACACATACCCAACATACTTAAGCTTGAAATACGTGAATATTTAAAATGAAAGTAAACACGGACAGTCAGTTTCGCTTTTGTAAACAGAATCAGCTGAGACGGCAAACCTGAGCGATGTAGAGATCCAGGAACTTCTGGCTGTTAGAGCTGAAGGACAGCTCACCAGACAGTTAACTTGGGACTGTGAAGGACAGTTTGAGAAAAACTTGTGTGGCTTCAATCATCTTAAAAAACAAGTTACATCCAAGCTAAAAGGAAGTCTTTGACAGCACGTATACCACCCCCGCAGAGTTTTATGTTCTGCCATCTTCTGTGCAGCTGTTTTTGCCATTTATTTATAATCGCTTTTGAATGTTTGCAAATTGTTATTGAATTGGCATGTTGCATCACAACAGATAGATGAAATGGTTAATCAGCTCGCCATTTGAGGGTAGGGTGAAAAAGAAACACATCTGAAGGAAATTTTGAAGGTTTTCAGCTGTAATGTTGGATTGTGGATGTAAGTTTGCTGCGGACTAACCATTTTTTGAGTACTTTTATTGGACCCTCTTTGACTTAGAAAATCAGTTTTTGTTTGAGATGGCTCTGTTCTGGCAATAATGAGGCTTTGAACGGTGAGTTAGACATTATTTTGAATTCCAGAGTGATGGAGGAGGCTAAAGAAAGGTCTTTGCAGCTGAATATTAATCCTACAATCCACAAAGTGATGCAAGCTACAGTTACACAATGGTCCCCAGAGTTCTTAACCAATAATAGTCTGGATTGACCCCAAAGTGCAGCGGCTGCCCAAGAATCTGACAGAACTGGAAGCTATAAGAAGAAATCCTTTAACAACAAGCTGAAAGGCGTGCTTAGGAATGTTTTCACAAGCAAAATATTTCTAAGTACTGGAAATACAGTGTGATCAGAAGTGTTAATGATGGAAGTAATGTTGATCCAAAGAAGAACAAGTGCCCTCTTACACGTTTAATCTTTTTCTCACAGTCAAGATTACCCTAGTGAGGTAACTTGCCTTGATACAATTCCGCTGTCCTCATTTATGTCGAAATTTTGCAGCTCTGTCACTGTCTAATTCTGTCCGATCTTCGAGGCGCGTTATGAGTGTACTTGAAGGTTGCTTTTGACCAGTGGAGCACTGGCGCTGAGATGATTCATTGTAGCAGTCACAGTTAGGTCAGTCTCAAAGAGGACTGTGACTCAGAGGGTGAGACAAGCAATGAGCTGGTCATAGAAGATCAGTGCCTTTGGCTGCACTTAATGTCAGAGAGAGAGAAATAAAATATAATTCTTGTGACCTTGGAGACTTGGTTTTAGTGCCTGAACGGCATGAGTAATAAAGAATAACCCAATGCTTGTTTACATAAGAATCTTTTTTTATACATTATCATTGGATTTATTTGAAAAATTAAAGATGAATTTGTGCCTGTTATCTCCTTCTAAGGTACTATGGCATCTGGACATCTTCAGGCGCAGCTTGAGACACCTACCTGGTCATTTCTGCCAAGGAGATTCGTGTATTTTTTGTGCATTAAAGGTAAAGTGTTATCAGCTGCAGCTCATCAGCTCGTATATCAGGACACAGATGCGGGCATTAAATCAGGCACTTCTTGCTCTTTTCGTCAGGGTCTTTTTTCCCAGTTCCAGCAGAGTCGAGAGCGCGCTCTGCCTTCCGACAACTTGCGTCATGCCTTGGCAGAGACCTTTAAGGACGAGCACCGCTTCCAGCTGGGCTTCATGGACGATGCTGCTGAGTGCTTTGTAAGTTCCCGTGGCGACTTTAGAAGGATCTGTGCGCACGCGTGCGTGTGTGTGTGTGTGTGTGTTATATACTGCCATGCATTTGGGGTAATACATTGCATAAAACTGTTTGGTGTGGTCTTTAAAAGAGCTTCTGTCCCCTGTGATAGTAAAGTATCAGCCTGACATCTTTGAATAACAATTGTGTTTGAACCATTGCATAAGAATGTTTCATTTAGTCTTAATAATAGGAATAGTTTCAGATTCTTGTTACAGAGAATCAATTTACATTTCATTTTCCACAAATTTTACTAAGAACCAAACAACACGTTTTTCTACTCGCAAACCCTATATTTTTATACCAAATCAAGTTTTGTTTTGCTATATTTGTACTCTCCTATGCCGGTTAATCAGATGACTGATTTAAGCATATGTTTAGTTAGTAAAATTGAGCTGACAATACAGCCTAATTGCACAATTAGAGTATCGTAATGTATTGTATATGAAATTTCCAATAGTATTGGCTAATAATGGCATTAAAATGTAATATCAGAAGATATCTATCAGTTTTTATTTTTTAATTCATTCGCTGCCAGCCGTTTCCTCCCTTCGCTGCCAGCGTTTCTCACTGTTTTTTAAGAGTTTGCGCGCTAGGATGATATCGATGCCAAAACTACCAAAACAAAGCGGAGACTCACCTCTTGCATCAGGAAGAATCCATGCGTTTCGAACGTTACCCGTTCTTTCATCATCCGTTGTTGAATTGTGATCAGCAGACACTTTTCTGGTTCACGCCTCACTTTTTTTTACAGCAGCGGCCCAAAATGATCTCCTAATACATGCATTTTCTGCATCCTGATCACGTGACGTGCTATGTAGACGGATGACGATCGGCTTTAGAGCTGACTTGTTTGTTCTCACGGTGCGGGGGCTCGTTCCGATGACCACACAGTAAAAAATTGCAAATGCCGACTTTAGAGGTCATTGACAGTGAACAGTTGGATTTTAAATGACGACTTTAGTCATCAATGGAAGTGAATGAGTTAACTGCAATGCTCTGGGTGGCTGCGTGATGGAGTAGCTCTGTTGACTATATGTAAGTTTTGACTTTTTTTGGACATTTTTTCTTCTAGTTCCTCAAGAAAAACTGTATTTTTGGACATTTTACTTTTCTGTTTCTGGTGCTGTGAAGCTCAGAGGAGTTTTACTGCTGTTTTTTCACTTTTTGAGCATTTGTTATGATGCGTAACCATGGCAACAAGCTGGTTTACAACCGGGAGCAGCTGCTTAACATTGGAAAGGCTGAAATAATACCGCAACTGAAGCCACAAATCCCAAATGAGCTAAAAACGCAAGAAGCGTAGGTGCAGAGCGGGAGCAAAGCAGAGCCAGAGAAAGAGGAAATTCAAACCATCTCTTCCATCGATCATAATGGGCAATGTGAGATCACTGGCCAACAAGATGGATGAACTCCAAGCCCTTTCAAGGACTCAGACAGAGTATCGGCAGTGCAGTGTTATGTGTTTGACTGAGACGTGGCTGCAGGACCATATCCCCGATTCCAGCGTCTCTCTGCCAGGATTCCTGACTTTATGAGCAGGCAGAGATCTGAAGAGGAGCGGGAAAAGAAAAGGAGGTGGAGTCGCAGTGCTTGTCAACAACAGATGGTGCCATCCAGGTCATGTTTCAGTGAAATGTCGTCTCTGCAGCCCAGATGTTGATTTCTTGGCAGTAAGTTGTCGCCCATATTATTTGCCAAGAGAGTTCACCAGTGTTGTCTTGACAACCGTTTATATTCCACCATCAGCCATTGCTGAAAGTGCATGTGATGCCATCAGTTCCGTTGTCGCTAAGCTACAAGCCCAGCACCCCTAATGCATGTCTGGCTATATCTGGTGATTTTAATCATGCCTTGCACTCTGCTACACTTCCAACATTTCAACAGCTTGTCAGCTGCTCCACCAGAGAAAACAAGACATTGGATTTGTTTTATGCAAATGTAAAGAATGCATACATGTCCAAAACAAGACCTCCTCTAGGGCAATCAGATCACAATCTTGTTTTTATCTGCTCAGAATACAAACCACTTGTTCAGAGGCAAGCTGTGACAAGAAGAACTGTGAGAAAATGGTCACAAGACACTGAAGAAGCCCTGCAGGGTTGTTTTGAGACCACAGATTGGATGATTTTGCCAAGGATATGAAGAGGACATCAATGCCATGACTGGATGTGTCACTGACTATATAAACTTCTGTGTGGACAACATCATACCCACCAGAACGGTGAGATGCTTTGCTAATAACAAACCCTGGATCACCAGGGAACTGAAGAATCTGCTAAATGAGAAAAAAGAGCTTTCAAGGAGGGAGACAGGGAATTATTGAGGAGTATACAGAAGCAACTGAAGATCAAGATCAGAGACAGCAAGGAGGCATACAGTAAGAAGCTGGAGAACAAACTACAGAGGAGCAATATCAGAGATGTCTGGCCAGGTATGAAGAAGATCACAGGCTCCAAGCAGAGGAAGGATTGCACAGATGGCAGCCTGGACAAGCCAATGAACTGAACAAGTTCTTCAATAGATTCAATTCAGGAACAATCCCAGCATCCTCCTCACCTGTCCCCAGCCAATCACACATCCCATCCTCCTCTGATCCAACATTTTCCTGTCACACACCAGCTCTTTTGTCCTCTAACACAGTCATGGACTCTTCTGGTTCTATAAATCTGTCTTCAACCAAGTCAGGAGATTCTGCTGCCCCATTTACCTCCCCCTTCCACCTATCTGTTTCTAGAAGTCAGGTGAAGAGGCAGCTGGAGAGACTGAACAGGAACAAGGCTGCAGGTCCAGATGGTGTCAGCCTCAGAGTACTGAAGGCCTGTGCAGAGCAGCTCTGTGGGATTCTGCAGCACCTCTTCAACCTCAGCCTGGCCCAGGAGAAAGTTCCAGCCCTGTGGAAGACATCCTGCCTTGTTCCAGTTCCCAAAAAACTCGCCCATCAGTCAATGACGACTACAGACCGGTTGCCCTGACATCCCACATCATGAAGGTCCTGGAGAGACTCCTGTTGGTCCACCTGAATAAGCAAACTAGGACATATCAGGACCAGCTACAGTTTGCTTATCGCCATGGAGTTGGAGTTGAAGATGCCATCATCCATCTGCTTCAACCAACCCACTGTCATCTGGACAAAGCAGGCAGCACTGTGAGGGTCATGTTCTTTGATTTCTCCAGTGCATTCAACACAATTCAGCCTGATGTACTTTGTCATAAACTCCAGAGGACACAGGTAGGGGCCTCAGCTATCACCTGGATTAAAGACTACCTGACAAACAGACCACAGTTTTTGAGGCTGAAGAACTGCACATCAAACCAGGCGATCAGTAACATTGGAGCACCACAGGGGACTGTACTCTCACCATTCCTTTTCACCCTGTACACCTCAGACCTCAAATTCAATTCAAAGAGGGAAATTAGAGTGCACATCAGAGACCTGTCATCTACAGAAATACTCAGATGACTCTGCAGTTGTCGGGTGTATCAGAGATGGACAGGAAACTGAGTACAGAGAGCTGGTGGAGCGCTTTGTGGCATGGTGTGGAAACAATCATCTGACCTTGAACGAGAACAAAACAAAGGAGATGATTTTAGACTTCAGAAGAAACAGGGTGGAGTCAAACACTGTTTCCATCATGGGAGAATAAGTGGAGGTGGTTAAGGAATACAAATACCCTGGAATTCACCTGGACAACAGACTGGACTGGAGAAAGAACAGCGAAGCCGTTTACAAGAAGGGACACAGCAGACTGCACTTCTTGAGGATGCTTAGGTCCTTCAATGTCTGTAGCAAGATGCTGCAGATTTTCTACAAGTCTGTTGTTGAGAGTGTAATCTCTTCAGCCATCGTCTGTTGGGGTAGTAGCATCAGAAGCAGGGCCCTGAAAAGGCTCAACAACCTAATAAAAAAGGCTGGTTCTGTTCTGGGGACGACTGTGGAACCACTGGAGGAGATAATGCAAAGAAGGATTCTCCAGAGAATCAAGAAAATTATGGACAACCCTGAGCATTTTCTTCACAAGACTGTCCGGCAACAGAAGAGTGTCTTCAGTCAGAGGCTTCTTCAGTTTTGCTGCAACACTGACCGCTACTGGAGATCCTTCCTGCCAACAGCCATTGTAATATACAATAACTCTTTGATGACTTGATTATTATTATTATTCTGAGCTACTACAGCAATCAATTTCCCTCTGGGATTAATAAAGTATTTTTGAAGTGAATTGAATTGAATAAAACAACATTTACATACCATGCAAAGATGGTATGTCAAACAGACTTGAAGACTGTGCTGATCAGTAGCTGTTCGTCTTCCTCAGTTGCATGATCTGATAATTTGAGAAGCTCAGCCATCCAGGAGGAGCTTGGAGTAGATTTGCTGCTCCTTCACATCAGGAGGAGCCAGTTGAGGTGGCTCGAGCATCTAGTTAGGATCCATCCTGGACGCCTCCCTGGTGAGGTTTTCCGGGTACATCCAACTGGGTGGAGACCTAAAGGAAGACTGAGGACACGCTGGAGGGACTATGCTGTTCAATTGGCCAGGGAACGCCTTGGGATTCCCCTGGAGGAGTAGGCCTAAGTAGCTGGGGATGGGGAAGTCTGGGCTTCTCTGTTTAGACAGCTGCCCTTGTGACCCAACTCCAAACAAACAGATGAAAATGGATGGATGGATGGATGGCACAGCTCGCCTAACATAAATAGAAATAGTTGTCATATTTTCCAATATAATGTTTAAAGTTTAATTATGATTGATAGGAGATATGTGATGTTACTTCCCTAAAATAATTTAGTTTACCTTCTTTTTTATGGGAGGAGACCTGGCATGTATAAAGACAATTAGATAATGAAAACGGATATTTTTGGTTTCAATTTTCTAAAACATGCCAATTTATAAATTTGGGTGGATGTCCGATATTCATACCGGTGTTATAGCCTATACTTATACACTACACTTTCAACATTATGT